TATGGACATTTCCCCCCGCTACTCCCCCAATGGACATTTGCTCCAGCTACTCCCCCTATGGACATTACCCCCCACTACTCCCCCTATGGACATTACCCCCCACTACTCCCCCTATGGATATTTCCCCCAGCTACTCCCCCAATGGACATTTCCCCCAGCTACTCCCCCGATGGACATTTCCCCCCCTCCCCCCCCCTATGGACATTTCCCCCCCTCCCCCCTATGGACATTTCCCCCCGCTACTCCCCCTATGGACATTTCCCCCCGCTACTCCCCCTATGGACATTTCCCCCAGCTACTCCCCCTATGGACATTTCCCCCCGCTACTCCCCCGATGGACATTTCCCCCCCCTCCCCCCCATATGGCCCCCCTCCCCCCTATGGACATTTCCCCCCGCTACTCCCCCTATGGACATTTCACCCCCCGCTACTCCCCCTATTGACATTTCACCCCGCTACTCCCCCAATGGACATTACCCCCCACTACTCCCCCAATGGACATTTCCCCCCGCTACTCCCCCTATGGACATTTCCCCCCACTACTCCCCCAATGGACATTTCCCCCCGCTACTCACCCCTATGGACATTTCCCCCCCGCTACTACCCCCTATGGACATTTCCCCCCGCTACTCCCCCTATGGACATTTGCCCCCCGACTACTCCCCCTATGGACATTTGCCCCCGCTACTCCCCCTATGGACCATTTGCCCCGCTACTCCCCCTAAGGACATTTCCCCCCCGTTACTCCCCCTATGGACATTTCCCCCCGCTACTCCCCCTATGGACATTTCCCCCCGCTACTCCCCCTATGGACATTTCCCCCCGCTACTCCCCACTATGGACATTTGCTCCAGCTACTCCCCCTATGGACATTTGCTCCAGCTACTCCCCCTATGGAACATTTGCTCCAGCACTCCCCCTATTGACATTTCACCCCCCGCTACTCCCCCTATGGACATTTGCCCCCGCTACTCCCCCTATGGACATTTTCCCCAGCTACTCCCCCTATGGACATTTCCCCCCACTACTTCCCCTATGGACATTTCCCCCCACTACTTCCCCTATGGACATTTCCCCCCCCGCTACTCCCCCTATGGACATTTCCCCCAGCGCTACTCCCCCTATGGACATTTCCCCCAGCTACTCCCCCTATGGACATTTGCCCCCGCTACTCCCCCGATGGACATTACCCCACCCCCTCATGGACATTTCCCCTGCTACTCCTCCTATGGACATTTCCCCTAGCTACTCCCCCTATGGACATTTCCCCCCCACCCCCACAACTGACTTTTACTCTGCCCCCACCCCAACGACATTCATCATTGTTGCAGTTGTTAATATGTACATTATAGATTTTTTATAATAATAATTTGTATAGTTTTTATTTCACTTGGTCCCTATACCCCGTCAATGGTCATGCTGCTCCCCCTATGGTCATTCCCCCACACCCACTCAACAGTCTTTACTCTGCCTCGACCCCAATGGACATTTATTTATTAATCACTGCTACAGTTATGATGTACATAGTACTATTTCACTTAGTCCTGCATGTTGGAGCCTAAGATTTTCACTGTACCCTGCAATCACACCTGCAACCCTGTACATGTGACTATTAAACACTGTGAATCTGAGGAGAGGAGTAAGAGAGAGAGAGCAGGAAGGGACACACAGGTCAGACCAGACTGACCCTGACCTCATAGGATTCTCCACATCACACAAAAATATAAAAACAATACTACGTTTCCAAACGCTATTAGAACCCATTGTACGGAGTGTTTTCTGTGTAGCTATGTGAGCCAACAGACAAATCGTATCAGGCAGAAAAATCACAGCTGGAGACGATAAATCAATAAATCATCAATTGCATTGATTCGGGATCTGCATTACACCAGATACCAGTGGTTTTACACTCCAAATCACGACTCCCTCCTCTTCAGAACAACGCTGCAATCGTGAGCTATAAATTTGACACACAATTTATGACGACTTATCTCCTATGGCTGTGTGAGTGGAGCAGGCAGATGTTATGGGAGTGGAGAGGGAGCCTCAGACTTTCCACTTCCAGTGTGTGTGTGTGTGTGTGTGTGTGTGTGTGTGTGTGTGTGTGTGTGTGTGTGTGTGTGTGTGTGTGTGTGTGTGTGTGTGTGCCGGGTGGTAGGAACAGCGCAAATTTTCAGATGAGGTCAAATAGATGGGCAAATAGCAGCTTTAAGAAGCCATCAGCCGCTCCTGATTAAGTATAGGCTTTCTATAGCAGGACAACCATTGCACATTGGTTTTGGCTAATTAGTGGAGTGAAGGGTTCCTGGTTCTCGGTTCCTGGACTGGGCCAGAGCTGGGCCACGTCTTCAGTCCCAATCACACCGCGGGAACAGCAGGTATTAATAGCCCAACGATTGTTCTGGACATTTCAATTAAGGCCTGAAACAAGACCCAACATGGGACAGGACACTGAGTCTGGCTTGCGTGCGTTTGGTTTTTATTAAGCTGGAGTGGGGGTTTCTGTTTGGATGGTTTGGAAGAGTCTGCAGAGGTCTTCATGGTAGAGAGGAAAGTTAAAGACAGAAAAACTATCTACCGTCTTACAGAGATGTCATAGCATCCACAGGAACGTCATCATCAGACTGTATTTGTTATTCTGACAAATTAGCCGAACAGACACGTGCACACACGCAGTCACACACACTAACAGGGTCTATGATAGTGTCTGTGTACCGATCTGCAGAAGAGAGAGCAAGATGGAAGGGGGAGAGAGAGGGGAGGAAGGGGGAGAGAGAGGGGAGGCAAGAGAAAGAGAAGGCAAGAGAAAGAGAGAGAGGGAAGGAGAGAGGGCACAATGAGTCACACTTGTTAGTGAGTGTCACAGTGTCAAGGATCGTGACAGAATCCAGACGCTAGACACCAGCTGCAGTGCCTCGTAAATAGACTGTTGTCTCGCAGGCACATTGGAGCGCATGCACGGATGCACGCACACACACACACACACACTTATCTACAGACACACTCACTTCTTGTGCTCAAATCCAGTAAAAGTGACAGTGTACTGTTTTGTGCCTATAGAGAATCCAAGATCAGCCATGCCAAAAGAGGAGAGGGGGTGGAGACTTACAAGATCCTAACAATTTCTCTCTTATTCAAGCCAATAGAAAGCCATATCTCAAAATAATCAACAATCCATAAAAAAGCCCATGAGAATAAGTGATCAAGTTCAGTCCAGGGCTGACGTTGAGACTAGCCCCAACACGTGTCTGTATCTGTGCATCTTTGTTGATGTGTGGCTCAGTATCTGTGTGTGTGTGTCTGTGCGCAAGCGCGCGCGTGTGTGTGTGTGTGTGTGTAATGGGGTATTCCCCCTCCTCCCAGCCCTTTGATAATGAGGAGGGTAATGCGCTTCATCTGTCCCGTGGAGGGATAGAGAGAGAGTGAAATAGAGAGAGAGATAGAGAGAAAAAAGAGAGAGAGAGAGAGATAGAAAAAATTGAGAGAAAAAGAGAAAGACAGAGAGAGATAGAGAGGAGGAGAGAAGTCCTGCTGGAGGTTAGGGGTTAAACGCGCTGGGACGTTCCTGCTGAGGCAGCACTCTGTAAAGTGCAAGGTTTCATTGTACCAGATACAGAATGAAACTCCTGCCCATTAGTCACGGTAGTAACAGCAAAGATTCCTCACTGCACTTAACTCCTTCTGCGCCACAGCCCAACTACAGCCCAGATACAGGCAGGGATGCAACAGTTACCATGAACGTACTGTAACACAACATATACACCAAATGTGCATGGGCCGCTGGGCCGACAGAACACGGGATCAGATTCATCAACTCATCAAGGAGGAGTCATGACGTGACTTCTGAGTGGCCTTTTCTCATTCTCTCCTCTCTTTGTTTCTCTTCTTCCTCAGTCTTCTTCTCCCTGGTGTTGAGCAACCCTCCCACGGCGGGCCAGGGCCAGGATACAGTATACACTACACTCTCACTCTGTGGCCTGGGAGGAGTTGGGGAGGAGGTGAAGGCAAACAGACCCTTACCCCAGTTAGTTAGAGTTACTGTACGCATCACCATCATCAGAGAGAGAGAGAGAGCCCTAGTCAACCCCACCACAAGACACAGAGTGGCGCAATGACAAACAATGGAACAGACCAGCAACAAAACAAACTCACAACACAGAGACACGATTGTCATTGTGAAGAAAGGTGATTTAGGTTCATTATTCGACGCAATTACACCCGCTCACAGAATTCCTGTGGTCTCAGTATTCCAAATAATCTTCTTGGATTTGTGTACTCAAAAAACCAAGCAATATTTACAGTGTGAAACAAAGATACTGCTTATTACTGTACTCTTGCTGCTATCTTGTTTCTGACTCGTAATCCCCAAAAGCTAGCAACAGGCTTTGACTGAATAGTGTCCTACCGAGGGTTCAACTCAGAAGACCAAGATGGCTTCCATCCTCTCCACATCTACTTTTCTTCATCCACACTGATCTGTAACAACTAGACAAGCGAAAGCTAATACCCTTGAATGCACACATGCATGCACAAACTCAAACACACAGTGTTTACACGCACACAAACTCTTTCATAACCTCTGTGTTGTGTAGACATCTGCGTTGGCTCAGAGTCTCTCTCCAGACCATTTATTTTGGTGCTAAAAACCCCCGCCATTTGATCCTAATTAGATCAAAATGTAGCATGAAAAATGTGGTGATCAGTGTGGAGGACCAGAGCCCTGTGCTGTTTGTTTTCATTAGGCCAGGTCTCATAGAACAATACACTGACATCTCTTTTCTAACTAAACAACAAACCCAGCTGAGACTCCACATATTGTTTCTGGCCATACGTTGAAGAATAATAAAACAACAATTACCATCCATCATTCTCTCAATACAAGTCCACTTACTATCAACAGCACTATCAGCACCAGGTATTAATACTAACATGTGACAGAGACTAGTGAGGGAGGTATACAGACAGACTCACACCATGCATTCATGAGCTACTTCCACACACTAGGGAAGAGACGGAGGACCTCTTCTAGAACCATGTTTGTCACACTGAAACGCACACAGTGACAGTACACAGAAGTGTGTGAGGGGTTGGCAGAGGACAGGGGCGGTGGGGTGGGTTGTGAGGGGAGCCCTTACCCCAGTCTTGTCACAGAGGCGCAGGGTGTTGAAGGAGCCCATGGCGAACACCTCCCCGTCCGGAGACCAGGACACTGAGGTCACAGGGTAGTCATGTGACGAGGACGTGTAGAGCAGACGACCATAGCTGTCCCACACCTGAGAGAGAGGGAAGAAGGGAGATGACAGGAAGGAGGGGGCGAGAGGTGGGAGAAGGAACAGGGTCAATTACACAGTATTGCGACTGAGTGATACACACATTATAACATATACAGTGGGGAAAAAAAGTATTTAGTCAGCCACCAATTGTGCAAGTTCTCCCACTTAAAAAGATGAGAGAGGCCTGTAATTTTCATCATAGGTACACGTCAACTATGACAGACAAATTGAGGAAAAGAAATCCAGAAAATCACATTGTAGGATTTTTTATGAATTTATTTGCAAATTATGGTGGAAAATAAGTATTTGGTCACCCACAAACAAGCAAGATTTCTGGCTCTCACAGACCTGTAACTTCTTCTTTAAGAGGCTCCTCTGTCCTCCACTCGTTACCTGTATTAATGGCACCTGTTTGAACTTGTTATCAGTATAAAAGACACCTGTCCACAACCTCAAACAGTCACACTTCAAACTCCATTATGGCCAAGACCAAAGAGCTGTCAAAGGACACCAGAAACAAAATGGTAGACCTGCACCAGGCTGGGAAGACTGAATCTGCAATAGGTAAGCAGCTTGGTTTGAAGAAATCAACTGTGGGAGCAATTATTAGGAAATGGAAGACATACAAGACCACTGATAATCTCCCTCGATCTGGGGCTCCACGCAAGATCTCACCCCGTGGGATCAAAATGATCACAAGAACGGTGAGCAAAAATCCCAGAACCACACAGGGGGACCTAGTGAATGACCTGCAGAGAGCTGGGATCAAAGTAACAAAGCCTACCATCAGTAACACACTACGCCGCCAGGGACTCAAATCCTGCAGTGCAAGACGTGTCCCCCTGCTTAAGCCAGTACATGTCCAGGCCCGTCTGAAGTTTGCTAGAGTGCATTTGGATGATCCAGAAGAGGATTGGGAGAATGTCATATGGTCAGATGAAACCAAAATAGAACGTTTTGGTAAAAACTCAACTCGTCGTGTTTGGAGGACAAAGAATGCTGAGTTGCATCCAAAGAACACCATACCTACTGTGAAGCATGAGGGTGGAAACATCATGCTTTGGGGCTGTTTTTCTGCAAAGGGACCAGGACGACTGATCCGTGTAAAGGAAAGAATGAATGGGGCCATGTATCGTGAGATTTTGAGTGAAAACCTCCTTCCATCAGCAAGGGCATTGAAGATGAAACGTGGCTGGGTCTTTCAGCATGACAATGATCCCAAACACACCGCCCGGGCAACGAAGGAGTGGCTTCGTAAGAAGCATTTCAAGGTCCTGGAGTGGCCTAGCCAGTCTCCAGATCTCAACCCCATAGAAAATCTTTGGAGGGAGTTGAAAGTCCGTGTTGCCCAGCGACAGCCCCAAAACATCACTGCTCTAGAGGAGATCTGCATGGAGGAATGGCCCAAAATACCAGCAACAGTGTGTGAAAACCTTGTGAAGACTTACAGAAAACGTTTGACCTGTATCATTGCCAACAAAGGGTATATAACAAAGTATTGAGAAACTTTTGTTATTGACCAAATACTTATTTTCCACCATAATTTGCAAATAAATTCATTAAAAATCCTACAATGTGATTTTCAGGATTTTTTTTTCTCATTTTGTCTGTCATAGTTGACATGTACCTATGATGAAAATTACAGGCCTCTCTCATCTTTTTAAGTGGGAGAACTTGCACAATTGGTGGCTGACTAAATACTTTTTTTCCCCACTGTAGTTGAAGTCGGAAGTTTACATGCACCTTAGCCAAATACATTTAAACTGAGTTTTTCACAATTCCTGACATTTCATCCTAGTAAAATTCCCTGTCTTAGGTCAGTTAGGATCACTACTTTATTTTAAGAATGTGAAATGTCAGAATAACAGTAGAGAGAATGATTTATTTCAGGTTTTATTTATTTCATCACATTCCCAGTGGGTCAGAAGTTTACATACACTCAATTAGTATTTGGTAGCATTGCCTTTCAATTGTTTAACTTGGGTCAAACGTTTCGGGTAGCCTTCCACAAGCTTCCCACAATAAGTTGGGTGAATTTTGGCCCATTCCTCCTGACAGAGCTGGTGTAACTGAGTCAGGTTTTTAGGCCTCCTTGCTCGCACACACTTTTTCAGTTCTACCCACATATTTTCTATAGGATTGAGGTCAGGGCTTTGTGATGACCACTCTAATACCTTGACTTTGTTGTCCTTAAGCCATTTTGCCACAACTTTGGAAGTATGCTTGGGGTCATTGTCCATTTGGAAGAACCATTTGCGACCAAGCTTTAACTTCCTGACGGATTTCTTGAGATGTTGCTTCAATATATCCACATAATTTTCCTTCCTCATGATGCCATCTATTTTGTGAAGTGCACCAGTACCTCCTGCAGCAAAGCACCCCCACAGCCTGATGCTGCCACCCCCGTGCTTCACGGTTGGGATGGTGTTCTTCGGCTTGCAAGCAACCCCTTTTTTCCTGCAAACATAACGATGGTCATTATGGCCAAACAGTTCTATTTTTGTTTCATCAGACCAGAGGACATTTCTCCAAAAAGTATGATCTTTGTCCCCATGTGCAGTTGCAAACCGAAGTCTGTCTTTTTTATGGCGGTTTTGGAGCAGTGGCTTCTTCCTTGCTGAGCGGCCTTTCAGGTTATGTCGATATAGGACTTGTTTTACTGTGGATGTAGATACTTTTGTACCTGTTTCCTCCAGCATCTTCACGAGGTCCTTTGCTTTGCTGTTGTTCTGGGATTGATTTGCACTTTTTGCACCAAAGTACATTCATCTCTAGGAGACAGAACTCGTCTCCTTCCTGAGCGGTATGACGGCTGCGTGGTCCCATGGTGTTTATACTTGTGTACTATTGTTTGTACAGATGAATGTGGTACATTCAGGCGTTTGGAAATTTCTCCCAAGGATGAACCAGACTTGTGGAGGTCTACAATGTTTTTTCTGAGGTCTTGGCTGATTTATTTTGATTTTCCCATGATGTCAAGCAAAGTGGCACTGAGTTTCAAGGTAGGCCTTGAAATACATCCACGGGTACACCTCCAATTGACTCAAATGATGTACATTTGCCTATCAGAAGCTTCTAAAGCCATGACATCATTTTCTGGAATTTTCCAAGCTGTTTAAAGGCACAGTCAACTTCTGACCCACTGGAATTGTGATACAGTGAATTATAAGTGAAATAATCTGTCTGTAAACAATTGTTGGAAAAATTACTTGTGTCATGCACAAAGTAGATGTCCTAACCGACTTGCCAAAACTATAGTTTGTTAACAAGAAATGTGTGGAGTGGTTGAAAAATGAGTTTTAATGACTCCAACCTAAGTGTATGTAAACTTCCGACTTCAACTGTAGATAGTAATTTTGGGATCACGGGACATATATGACCTTGTATTTACAATCCTCTCCACTTGACAGTATCAGGTAATTCACAGAGTTCCAGTCCACCTTCAGAATGATCCCATCATGGGCCTTCCACTGGGGAGAGGAAGGGAGGGAGGGACAAGGAAGAGAGGAGAGAGCAGAGAAAGAGCAGATGATTATGCGAGAGCAGTGATATTCTACATACCCAACCAATAAATTCAGGATCACACCTCAGTTAACCAGTCCCAGGCTCTTTCCCACACCTGAGACACAGAGGGAAGGACAGAGCGGAAGGGAGAGGTAGATGGGGAGAAGGGGAGAGAGGTAGAATGAGAGAGGGGTGCTGCAGGTCCATATCAATATTCTACCCGCTGGGCTGCAGGCTAATATGTCTCAGTTTTTTTTGACAAGGACAAGCAGGAGAAGACTGCAGGGAGAGTTCACACACAGGAGACATGATGAAGCAAATACAGGGGAGAGGAGAGTACTTATCAGAAGGAGCATAGTGGACAAGAAGAGAGAGAGCTAGAGGTAAAGGTAGAGCGTGGTGCTCTCTCTGACAGCCTCTCAGTCTGCTCCGTGTTAATGTAACAGTTTGGACCTGGCTCTAATTGGAAACAGGGCAGAGCCTTCGCAGGTCGCCACGGGGACGAGATCACACACACCACCCCGTCAGAGACCCCATTACATCTCTGTTAAACACACACACTAACTAACTCACACACCCCAGCGTTAGCCAAGTGACTTACTGACACATCCTAATGTGTTGCTGATTGTTCAGCATGCCGAATGAGACTGGGAAAAATCTTCAGAATAGTTTCCCCTTCAAAAAAGTAAGGGAAGGTTGGACAGTCACATTTACAGTGCATTCAGAAAGTATTCAGACCCCTTTACTTTTTTCACATTTTGTTACGTTACAGCCTTATTCTAAAATGGATGAAATTGTTTTTTCCCCCTCATCAATCTACACACAATACCCCATAATGGCAAAGTGAAAACAGGTTTTTTGAAATTTTTGCAAATGTATTAAAGCTAAAAAACATAAATACCTTATTTACATAAGTACTCAGACCCTTTGCTATGAGACTTGAAATTGAGTTCAGGTGCATCCTGTTTACATTGATCATCCTTGAGATGTTTCTACAACTTGATTGGAGTCCACCTGGGGTAAATTCAATTGATTGGACATGATTTGGAAAGGCACACACCTGTCTATATAATGTCCCACAGTTGACAGTGCATGTCAGAGCAAAAACCAAGCCATGAGGTTGAAGGAATTGTCCGTAGAGCTCCGAGACAGGATTGTGTCGAGGCACAGATCTGGGGAAGGGTACCAAAAAATTTCTGCAGCATTGAAGGTCCCCAAGAACACAGTGGCCTCCATCATTCTTAAATGGAAGAAGTTTGGAACCACCAAGACTCTTCCTAAAGCTGTCCACCTGGACAAACTGAGCAATCGGGGGAGAAGGGCCTTGGTCAGGCAGGTCACTCTGACAGAGCTCCAGAGTTCCTCTGTGGAGATGGGAGAACCTTCCAAAAGGACAACCATCTCTGTAGCACTCCAACAATCAGGCCTTTATGGTAGAGTGGCCAGACGGAAGCCACTCCTCAGTAAAATACACATGACAGCCCGCTTGGAGTTTGCCAAAAGGCACCTAAAGGACTCTCAGATCATGAGAAACAAGATTCTCTGGTCTGATGAAACCAAGATTGAACTCTTTGGCCTGAATGCCAAGTGTCACGTCTGGAGGAAACCTGGCACCATGCCTACGGTGAAGCATGATGGTGGCAGCATCATGCTGTAGGGATGTTTTTCAGAGGCAGGGACAGGGAGACTAGTCAGGATCGAGGGAAGGATGAAAGGAGCAAAGTACAGAGATCCTTGATGAAAACCTGCTCCAGAGCACTCAGGACCTCAGATTGAGCTTGAAAGGATCTGCAGAGAAGAATGGGAGAAACTCCCCAAATACAGGAGTGCCAAGCTTGTAGCGTCATACCCAAGAAGACTTGAGGCTGTAATCACTGCCAAAGGTGCTTCAACAAAGTACTGAGTAAAGGGTCTGAATACTTATGTAAATGTGATATTTCAGTTATTTATTTTTTATAAATTTGCAAAAAAATCTAAAAACCTGTTTTTGCTTTGTCATTATGGGGTATTGTGTGTAGCTTGATAAGGAAAAAAAACAATTTAATCCATTTTATAATAAGGCTGTAACGTAACAAAATGTGGAAAAAGTCAAGGGATCTGAATACTTTCCAAATGCACTGTATGTCAATATTCATGAGATTTATTGACCAACAGATAACCAGAGGCACATGCCATAAAAGGAGGACAAGAGGAGGAGTCAACTCAGTCATTGTCTCCTTTCTCCTCCTGCCATGTGAAGGTTATCACCACAACTCCTGATCTCCACCCCCCGCCTCCCCAAACCCCTCTCCCACAGCTCCATCTCTCCCAGAGGGAGCAGGGGGATGAGGTGAGGGGGTTTGGGGATGGGGGGGGGTTGCAGGGGTCACAGAGTTGTGCAGGGGGCTTCTCCATACACTGCCAGCTGTTGCTCTGCTCAGGGGGAGGGGGTGAGGTGAGAGGGGTGAAGGGGGGGTGCACACTAAACCCTCTGGTGTTTACTTAGGGTCCCAGTCACAATTCAGTGCCAAAAAGAACAATAAACAAATGTACACGAACAAGAAAAATACTCACTGGAGTGCGAGATCTTCAATCCCCACACACGCACACACACACTCACAGTACCTGTAGGACCTTGGCGCTGGGTTGCAGGGGCTTGATTATCAGCAGTCTGCCTGACGTGTACAGGATCCTATCAGAGTCCGGGCCCCAGGCCACCGAGTACACAGGAGACCCTGAGAGAGAACGAGAGAGACACACACACACAGCAGGAGAGGTGAGGAATCACACTGCGTAACAATGTCCATGTGCTTAAACAATTACTTTTATAATACTATTTTCATAACACATCCATTAAAATTATGAAAATTATGAAAACTGAAACTTGTTTAAGGACGTTTCACAGTTGCATCTCCTTCTCAGACAGCATGACATATAATAAAGTAATTCTGTCAGTAGAATATCCACTAGTTAGTTGACTCTGGTTTGATTAGCTATCACACAGTCTGCCTCGAGGCAGTCCTTATCAAAGAGGGAGAAGTGCTTGGTGTGCCTTACAAACACAGAGATGGAGACACTGCAGTAGCTGGAGGAGATTGCGTTTCTAATTTCTACACCACAGCAGTGTCATATTTACTCTTAGGGTTCACCTCATACAGCCTGTAGGAATGGGATTTTGCGTGCATAGCTTGCTGCAATCCTGCAGACCTGGCTGTGTATCACACCAAGACAGCTGAGCGTTAAGAGAAACCTGCCTAAACCATGTGGTGTGGGTGTATGTGTGTGTGTGTGTGAGAGAGAGGCAGGCTGACATTTAACCCTGCTCCAGGTGCTTGTGGTTTCTCACAAATGCCAAGAAGTCACATGATCGCGGGCTGACAATGAGAGACGGCTGAGACGAGTTCCCTCTGCCCCCCTCCTCCTCTACACCCATCTTCTCCTCCCTCTCTCTTCCTCCCCCCTCCCACACAAATGGGACACGGTTACATCATTGCACTCAAGACTCACAACAAAGGCCCCCAGCTGTACCTGTGACTCCTGCAGTGTGTGTGTGTGTGCGTATGTGTGTGTGTGTGCATAAGGGGGAGCAGCACCTGCACAGATGCATCTGCAGTGTGGATGATGTGTCCACACCTGTTAGGTGACACCACCAATTGATCCACGCGCTCTGCAAAACTGAACGTGCAACAGCGGCTGTGCTGTGCAGCTCACTCCCTCTCAAGCCTGTCCAGTCAATGCCATGGTTCACAACAACACAGACAGACACATTAAATAGAGGACTGAGGGAGAATGTGCATCGTGTGGCTAAACTGCCCCTGCCTCTGCCCAGTTTTCTATGGAAGCAAAGAGCCCATTCATTCGGGAAAATGCATCCATGTCATCTGGATGGCCAGGTTTTACCATCAACACCGAATGTTTTTTGGGGCCACTACTGAGAATATTTTTCAAATGGCACAATGAATCAATTAATAAGTAAACCATCTGTATGCGAGTATTGGATAGAGAGATTTATCATTAGGAGTCTTTTTTATGGATTTTAATAAAACTCCACTCCAATAAACCTTTGGAACTTTATGGTGCTTTTAATAAAAATAGAACTGGAGCATTGACTGCATTTTCAACTGTATCCAGCAGCATTACACCCTAATAGTCCAACACACACACACAAATACACACACAATTCTCTCTCATCTTAAATCCTCCATAGTTGACATCTTAAATCATCTGCCTGGACTAAATCCCTGTTAACATTTTACATTTACATTTTAGTCATTTAGCAGACGCTCTTATCCAGAGCGACTTACAGGAGCAATTAGGGTTAAGTGCCTTGCTCAAGGGCACATCGACAGATTTTTCACCTAGTCGGCTTGGGGATTAGAACCAGCGACCTTTCGGTTACTGGCACAACGCTCTTACCCACTGGCCATCAACGCTCTTAACACAATGGCCATCTTTCAGATCATCGCACCAGCATCGTTTACAGCAGTTTTAAATACACAGACAGACACACTGTATGCACACACACTGTAAACACACTGTACACACACACACTGTAAACACACTGTACACACACACTGTACACACACAAATCCCAACTGGTGAAGTAAATGTGAAAGTCTCAAAATTGTCAGAACATGAGGCATATCCTGTAGTGCTTCAAACTGTACTACTCAAACTGTACTACTAGAGATACCTTTCTCTCTCTCTCTACATACCTTTCTCTCCCTCTCTCTCTTTCATCCACTGAGGTGCCCTCAAAAGCAGAAGGGGCCTTAATGAACACTGCAGTCTGTGTGAGAGACTATAATTGGTGGTTGTGAGTTGCCTTATGTTTACAAAATGTCCGCCAGCGCCGTCTCTCTCTCTGTAACTCACGTGGCTGTGTTCATGGGTCTGACTTCATTACAACTGTCCCAGGCCCGGCCCAAGCCCCAGCAGCAGCAGGTCCTCTGACAGGGCACACCAGAGTGTGAGAGAGACCTACAGACGTCTTGAGAAAGCACCAGGCTAACACACTCACCCCCTATGATTAATGCAGTGCATCCTCAATCACACATGGGTAGTGAACGTTTGTTCAAGACTGTTGGAAAAGCATTCCTCGTGAAGCTGGTTGAGAGAATGCCAAGAGTGTGAAAAGTGAAAAGCTGTCATCAAGGCAAAGGGTGGCTACTTTGAAGAATCTAAAATATATTTTGATTTGTTTAACACTTTTTTGGTTACTACATGATTCCATATGTGTTATTTCATAGTTTTGATGTCTTCACTATTATTCTACAATGTAGAATAAAGATAAAGAAAACCCCTGAATGAGTAGGTTTGTCCAAACTTTTGAATGGTACTGTACGTCAAAATAAATTACAGATTTCTTGAGTTATCTTAGATTAATTCTGACTATTTTGAGGAAGTGTACACTGGCTATGACATCTCAAGAAGGACAAACAGAACTATTACAGAATTTTCCAGTTTTTCAAGCGAAGGTCTTTTAAGGGAGTATACGAGCACACTTGTTCGGTTCGGCTAGGCGCCAGCCTAACCCTGGGCTGGAAGATTAGTGCACACACACACATACACCTCTTCACACACCTGGAGTCACACAGCGAGAGTGCAATGTTGGCTCTACACTGTGGAGCAACAGCACCACAAAAACTACAGGGCCCCATTCTGACAAAACAGGAAATTGTTAAAAGGGACAATATTGGTGGCTGCTTTTGTTTCAAAACAAAGTGTGGCTATGCACTGCGAGTCTGCTGCACAAATTTGTTTTCAATTACAGTAAGTGCTTGAGCTGAGTATTTGAAAGAAAAGTTTGAAAAAAGAATTCCTAGTAATCTTACCTTGCTGGGCCAAGGTGGACCTCAGCATGCCACTCTTAGACCAGATCTTGATCTGCCCGTCCTCCCCAGCTGAGGAAACATCAACAATCTGAGTTACAACCTACGGCAGTTATAACAAATTTGTTACTGAGCAGTGTATTACATTTTAGTGTTATTTTCTTGTGTGCGTTTATTACCCTGTGTCCCCCTCACCTGTGATGAGAGCGGTCCCGTCGTAGTTCCATCTCCCGGCTAATACAGCTCCTTTGTGGGCCTCCACACTCTTCTCAATACGGCCTGTCTTAGAGACCAGGTGGAACTTACCTACAGACAGACAACAGAACAGACAGGTTGAAGACAGGTACAGTCCATTAGATATGAAGGAAATATACCGTATAAACTGTCTCTCCATTTCTAAATCTCACATTTGAGAGGCAACAAACAGTCAAAAGGCACGATAAAAGCATATAACAGGATGTGAGGAGAGTTCATAAATATAAAGACCAAGAATATAGGCACTCGGCCCCACACAGAAACAAACAAACCAAGATAACATACAACATTGTAACCCATGGAGTCAGGTTCCCATACATAATGTATTTTGCTCCACTGTCCTGGTTGGTAGCTGCCTCTTGAAGACACATTTCTTACACAAAACGGATGAATGAAAGCAAAGTCTCTCTGTTGCTTAAATGAAACAGTTTCCTATCTGCTAGAGACGGGGAGTGATCAGGCATGGAGACAGTTATCAAAGACACTAGCCTACCATATACTTTGTGGCGGTGCGTATTAAAAAATACAGAATGTTCTATGTAATTTCTGGTTGCCTAAAACTGCAAATCAGCATGATGCTGCTCTCTCCAGCTTCTATAATTGGATGTCCTAACAAATGTGAATGTCGCCGACCCAGAAAAACAGGTAGTGAGTATACGACCATGGCTGCTGTATTAAAAGGATGCTTAGAATTAAAATAGGCTTTTAAAAATGTCAATTCTATTAAAGACCTGACTGTTAAACACCACATTCAAAATGCTCCCAGCATTTTCTCTATGTCTGTCAGTACTAGGAACCAAACCCATTTTTGACATATCGCCTCAGACAGAGGCCCACGCACCAAATGAGGTTGGAGAAAGCCACAAAAGTTTCTATAGATTTTCCCCACCCACCAAAGCTATACATCTGTGGTTTCTATTTAACAATTTCATGGCCATGTGAAGTTTCACTGACATTAAAAACAGAAACCAGAAAAATTTGCCGTTACAAGCTGCAGCAGACTATTGTACCAATACCCCCCCCAAAGTTGAGGTTGCTGTGCATTAGGATATAGGACTAGTACACTAAAAACAAACATTGCCTCTCAATAAAGGAAACCAATTACTTGTTCTAAAAAGCAGTCAATTGTGATAATATTATGTATATGATGACTATAATCATTCTGTAACAGAAAGACAGATGCAAACGTTTTTATGACTACATGGTCTGCCAGGGAAAATTGCTGCTTCAGTTTGTGGGTGTGTTTATGCAACCCTACACTGCCATTAACATTGTGACCACACGTCGCCTGCCATCGCCGTACATCTCCACTCTGTGTGTTTAGAGCTGATATAGACACAAGAGAACAACAGAGCCCTGTGCTATGAATCAGGTTTGAGGAGTTAGCGAGGTAACTTTTGTAAACTCTGAGTTCAACTCGGGATAACCGGTACCACGAAAGAGCCTCACCTTTTAGCCAGGTAAATTTCTATGGCAACAAATCCTTCAGAACTATCCTGCTCCGGGCAGGCTAACTCAGGGCTAACTCCATTTATCCTGAATGAAGTGTCTGAGCCACGAATTGAGGACCAATTAAATCAGATACCATCCCTCTCACAAAGATTGTGTCATCATCCTCATCATTTGAGGAGGACGACTGATTAAATATGTTATTTATTAATTTATTTTTAAGTGTAAAAAAAGAGTAACACTAAAATACCTATCACATTACACATTTAGTAGACAGCATTTGCTTTCCAAACTGTACATTTTTCGCGTGATTGTATTTAGAAATTTGGAAGGCAAACTAACAGCCGCAACCAACCATAGACATACTGTATAACCCATAGATGGCAGTTCCCATTCAAGTCAAGACTGGCAGCCATTGCTAGTTTACCCATGAGTTTAACAGTCAAATTGTCAGAGGTTCCAAAACCTTTCTATGGATTATAAGTATATAGCCACAACACAACAAGCTTTTCCACAGATAGAAGGAGCGATAGTAGTCGGAAAAAGGTGCTTGTGCATTGATAAGCACACCAAAGACGGCATTAAAGATAAGTAATAAAATAAAGATGGCACTTCTAAAAGCCTATTTCACACCATAACCTGCTAGATTTGCAAGGCACATTTTCTTTCATTTCGGCACAAATGAAAATGTGGCACTGACTCGCCCATTAATTGATGTTTCAGCATTGTCTCAATGAAGAGCTCAGCGTTCAACTAGCCACGTGCGACATGCACACACAGTAACACACCTGCTACAGTTAGCGGCAGGTGGACGAGCAATATCCACCTTCGTAGTACGTATGAAGCCTGACCTGGAATGTGCAACTAACTGAAGCTGGTTAGCTTTATAAAAGCCTGAGTAGATCTAGCTTGCTTCGTAGTATACCACTCTGGTCAACCAGATGCATTTCACACAGACCATGCAGTTATGTACCTTGGGACAAATATCCTCTATCACCTACCTAATTCAATATCAATCGGTCTTGTTGAATAATGTGAGAAACTATCATTGCTTTAAAATTCAACATTTATTTTCTATGTTAGCGGTGCCATAAACTTGTTTCAGATAGCACTTTCAGGTATGAAAAGTGCTTCATAAATAAAGTTACATTTACATTTTATCCAGAGCGACTTACAGTTAGTGAGTGCATACATTTTTTTATATTTTTTTTATTCTCATACTGGCCCCCCGTGGGAAACGAGCCCACAACCCTGGCGTTGCAAGCGCCATGCTCTACCAACTGAGCTACACAGGGCCTGTTATCATTAAAGCCTGTTACAAGAAAATCTCTTATTATTCTTCGGTGACTTGCCGTCAGTGCTGGTGAGCACAAAGATCTCGGCCTGGGACTGCTTCTTGCCTCCCACCGTCTTGGGGAACCAGTGCAGGTCGATGGGGAAGAGGTCCTCTTGCAGCTTCACCACCAGGCTGGTCTCACTGGTCAGCAGGTTCCATCTCAGGATCTGGTGGTCCTCACTGCATGAGTACAACTCGTCTGCAGTGGTCCAGCCCACACAGCTCACAAGCTCTTTATGTGTCCAGGTGTTAAGGAGGACAATGGTAAGGTGGAAATAGATCAGTGGTTGCTGCAAAATATCTAATCTTAATTACTTGAACCAGATGTGTTCGTGTTAAAGTGGTACACACGTTTTCACACCCTGTAGCCTAACTCTTCGGGTCCAGGGTTGGTGGCCGCAGTAGACTCAAACACAGTGGTTGCTTTTCAGCTGAATTAATGAACACAGATCCTGTATTCACCTTTCTTTGTATTGAGGTAGGTGAAATCCACACACAGGTCTGATAGCAAATAGCATATAAAAAAACATTTCCACCTCCATACAGGTTGCAATAAGCATGCCTTTAGTAAGGTGCCAGGCAGACCTGGGTTCAAACACTATTTGCAATCTATACTTTATCTGTGCTTAACGGAGCTTAGCAGGCTTTAGAATTAGTCCCAAAATAATTGTCCCAAAACTGCAAACCCAACCCATATGGCACTCTGGACAGGCTAGAGCAAACACTCAAAATAGTTGAACGTTTTCAAATAGTATTTGAACCTAGGTCTGGTGGTGCAAGGTGTACTGAATATCATTTTTGTCTCAGGCAGCCTTAGCTTTGGTCCATGGCATTAGAGCGAGTTGGAGGAATGTGCACTAACCCCCTGGACCAGAGCTAGGGAGGCCTAGTATGTTATTAGAGGCACAACTTCTTAATAGATTTTTCATTAATGATTACTGGCTGTCCATATTTTTTAAACAGAAAATACCAACAATCTGGTCAAAGCAAAGCACTGTTGTAGTATGTTTCTATCTTTCACACAATTGAAAAGGATATGTTTTGGTTCCTTGAGTAATGATGTCTTTAATCTCATTGTGGTGGCCAATGTGAAAGAAGTCTTCCGAAAATAGGTACTTGACACTCACTGTAAACAGAAGGGTTGTCATCAATCATTCAAATTGGACATAACAGTTAGTTACCAAACAGACTGTATTAGGTTGCAAAGAGAGTAGCTACGTAGCTTGCTATTCATAGCTAACGGTACTCAGTTTGCTAGAATCACTGGCTGATTGTGGTCTGGTCAAAAATAAAACACAGTTGTCTAGCTAGCTAAGTTATGCCTGCATATGTTTTATTTGGAGTGCATAAGCCATATCGCTAACAATAACAGTGTATAGCAACTACTAGGTAGTTGATAGTTACTGACGAACTGCTAAGCTAGCTAGCTAAGTTAGCTACCTCTCTTGCCAAACAAGCGTCCGTCGTTGCTACGGTACCTGCACCGTAGCTAACGTGCTGAGTCTTCTTCACTGTTGTCACACTTGATAGCAGACAACTAAGCATGTCCATTTGCCATAGTAGCTCCACTGTTAATAGTTCATGCATATAAGGTGATATATTCCTCAACAATTATACTTATTGACAAAATCAGAAACTAGACTGATAGCTATGCAGCTAGCACTGGTCTGGAACGTAACCAGAGATACTCCTTTTCTAATTTCGCTGACGTACCTGGACTGTGTGAATAACTATCGCGAGAGTTCCTTGGCAACAAACTTTGAAAGAGACATTTTTTAAAACATTTTTGTCATTTAGCAGACGCTCTTATCCAGAGCAACTTACAGTTAGTGAGTGCATGCATTTTTTCATACCTCTGGAGATTCTAACACTTCAGTTGCTAGGTCTTGATGTCATGTTACAAAGGAAATATTTAAGCAATAAGGCACAAAGGGGTGTGGTGTATGGCCAATATACCATGGCTAAGGGCTGTTCTAAAGCATGACACAACGTGGAGTGCCTGGATACAGCCCTTAGCCATGGTATATTGGCCATATACCACAAACCCCCGAGATGCCTTATTGCTATTATAAACTGGTTACAAATGTAATTAGAACAGGGAAAATAAATGTTCTGTCATACCCGTGGTATACTGTCTGATATAGCACAGCTGTCAGCCAATCAGCATTCAGGGCTCGAACCACCCAGTTTATAACTCGATTTATACCATGGCATTGTTGAATACTTGTTTCTGATTGGCTTAAAGGGCATTCTAGAGAGTGCATTATTTCCCCATAATGGATGGTATAATTCAATGGCAATGAAGTTCATTCTTACATATTCTACGGGTGCGTTCATAAATTGCATCTAGTGTGGCAGAGAGAGCTCTGGGCCATTCGTAAATTCTGAGGGTTGTCAGATTGTCAGAGCGTTTCGCTTTCGGAGCCAACACTGGACGCTCTGGCCGAGGAGTAGGGTTGATCCGAGCGTTCTGACCTCGCGTTCTGACCTCACAAAGGCAGTCAAGCGCCCAAGCTAACTGGCTAATGTCGGCTAGCTACTTCCAGACACAAATGAGAGAACACCTCACTCTGACCATTTTACTCGCCCTAGCAGGGCTAGTTAGGCTGTTTTCATGTTATCTAGAGCGTTAGTGACTGTAACTGTGCTGCTAGCAACAATTTAATTCCGTTTTTTTTCCTACCTTTACTGACACCTGTCATATTCAACGGGTGTTGCGCGTTCGTAAATTCATCAGTTATTCTGCGCTCTGACACACCCAAACGAGAGTGCTCTGAAATCCGAGTAGAATTTACGAACTATGTTCGAGCTGCTTTTAAAAGCAAAAGTCGAATTGAAACATTATTGGCATGGTTTAATTCGATTTTCATAATAGCAAGCTAGGACTGATGGTTTGGTTAGCTAAACTAGCAAGTCTGTGTTAAATTATAGCCCGTGGTATAATAAACTCGGGGCTCTAACTCTTATGCGTTCTCTGGAAAATAATGCAACTCTGTGGAAGGTTGGTGCCACTCCGCTAGTGCTTCGTGGCACACACCTTCCACCTAGTGCATTCTTTTCCATAGAACGAATAGCCCCTTGTTGATTATCCCTTACATATTTTCGACTTTTCAACCAATACAATCCAAATACAAAATAATACATTTACCGGTACTGTAAACAACACCCCTCCGTCGTCTCTAGGCAACAGTGTCCATACGTCACGGGCACATTCTATTTTCTAAAATTATTTTAAGAAAATATCCCAAATCATTAACAAAACATAATCTTTATTCTTCATTAATGTTAACTTGAATGCTAATGTTTGTTTTTGTTTATGTTCATGGTTGCTCAAAACTAGACTTGGCATCGGCCCTCTTTTTGAATTTCTTGTTTTTTGACCAATGAGGTTCCATGGTGCCTTGCATCAGTTTGTAACGAATTTTGGTTCGACAACAGAGTTTAGGCGCCATTTACGAGTGAGAGTTTGCAGTGAGCTAACGATTTGAGATGACACAGGGTTGACTTTTACGCACTTTATTTTTTAGCTTCGGGATATCGAGAACAGTTTTCCAATTGCCTTTGAAAATATAAGGTGATACACAGGGAATTGGTACAGCAAAATAACTTCGTCCGCAAGGTAAAACTGCCATTTTAACTCAACACAAAAGAGCTAGCTAAGGTTAGCGAAAAGAAAACTAGTAAGCTCGCTAGCTAACTTGCCAGCAAGTTTGTGGGCACTTTTAGCCGGTTATGCATGTGATTGTTGAGCTAGCTAGCTAACTGAGTAACTTGAAATGATCAGACAGCAAACATTAGCTAGCTAGCTACCTTGGCGAACCAGTGCAAAGTAACGTTAGCTAACTAACTAGCTAGCCAAGTTAACCTAACTTGGAAGCAAAGTACCGGTTTCCCCTATTCATCTGTTCGCTATCTAGGTAACGTTAGCTAAAGTATTTGTTCGTGGCTAGCAGTTGACGTGAAAATAATTCAAAAGTCCAACTGGCTAGTTACAATTGGCTAGTTAATCAATCACAAAGTTTTCTAACCTGACAAACGCTAGCTAGTTAATTACCAGACAGTCTATAGCAAACTGTATTAGCTAGCTACAGTAACGTTAGATGGCTATTTCCACGTCTTCTCAGTTTAGGCAAATTCTTAACGTTCTCAAGTTAAGATTAGCAATGTAACGTTATTTGTATAACGGTAACGTTAGCTAACTAGATTGAAAGTGCACAACTGAAGCATAACACTAACGTTAACGAAAAAACTCCAAGACTAACGTTACTGTTAAATCAGTTTTTTTTAATGATACACAGCAGGTGACATATTTATTCACAGTAACGTTAACGTTAGTGCTATTTAGCTAGCCATATTGTAGCTACATTACATTATCGTAGATTATTAAACTGATATAACTATCGATCTGTCAAATAAACTAAACATGGCTCATTCAACTGAAACGGCTCAAATTGGACTACTGAGTGCAGCCTACATGGCACTAATGATAAAGTAACTCTGATTCTGATTGGCTACTTCAGGGGCTATGACTTTACTTTGCATATTTAACTCCATCTTTTGCGAACTAGTTCTCCGTACAAAATTACTTTGCTTTTGAGCTCCGTTTAGCGTTACTGACAGCCTGTAACGTCACCATTTTTGTCAGTATTTTAGTTACACGCACTTGACTTGTCCGGGAAACTTATCAGTTAATTTCTCTATAATTAAGTGAAAATGGATGCATGTTGTCAGCTTATGTTAGTTAGACCAATACAATCATGCTATTTGATTAGAGGAGATTCATGTTGGACAGCTAATTCATTTTGACTCGTCAGAGGGTTAAATAGTAATTTCGTGTCAAATATTCTCTTTTCGATTCTCTTGGGTTATGTTTGCATCTCTGACCCTCGCTTATATATATGCACTTATGACACAGTTAAAACGAAACATATTTAGCAAAGAAACTAAAACAAACACTTTTAGATATATGGTCTTGTCAGACAGCAGACTGGCCATTTATTTGCAGCTTTATAATTGACGGGGTAACCGATTTATGACCAGAAGTGAAGTTTTTAATTCAGTGTAGCAATCAATATACGTTGGATAAAATGCCCAATTGTGATGGGAAAATGACGGGAGGGGGTAACGGGGTGCTTCAAGCTGACTATCAATTGTAGAGAAGTGATTGACAAGCGAAACCACCTACTGGATTTTACTTTTACTCCTGTGATTTTAATGATATCTTTAGATTCTAAATCATGCCAGCCAAAACGTCGAAAAGTTCAACTGCTTCCAAGCA